AGTGCCTCCAGTTGACCAACTTTGGTGTCTCGCAGCAGAGTGACGCTGTGTTGTTGTTGTATTTAGGTTTGTTTATACTCGGCGCCGGAATAACTATATGTCCGAGATTATAGCATCCTTGCCGGTCCACTACGGTAGTCAAATCGGGAACGTCTTTTCAAGCAGAACCTTCCTTCGTTCATTGGTGGTAAAGGAGACGACAATACTGTCAAGGCATCAACTTCCTGACTGACGACAACAAAAACGGCCTTCGTTAGCGCCCATCCTCCAGAGTTAGTCACGACAGGTCAACCAATCACCTCTGGTACTTGAGATGACTTGACCTTGACACCTGCCGTGTGCCTTCTCCGCGACGTGCACGCCTCTGGAGGGATTTGGAGAAGCTGTGCTCCCTGCTCGTCCTTTTATATGACCTGTGACGTCAGCATTATCGCTTCATTGAGTTCAATTTTAATTGGTTATTCTTAGCGTTGGTTTAATATTTTACTTCACATACGCCTATAAATTTCACCAGTCTTATACACTGGTTATTTGTACTGTCCAATAGTATTCTTTCTATTCTCCTGTATAAAGAGGACAATACTACACCACTGCACTGACTGGTGCCCGTGTTTTGATGAATACGACTGAGACTGATCACGATCACCAGTCAATGAAGTGGTGTACGTGGGAGGTGAGCTGCCACTGGTGGCTCCAATAGAAATGCCTCCAGTTGACCTACATTGGTGTCTCCCAGCAGAGTGACGCTTTCCTCTCTGTTCTTATATATATTACCTGTAACGTCAGCATTAACCAATCAGTGAGTTCAATTTTGATTTGTTATGTTTAGCTCTGGTTTACAATTATACTGTGCATGTATTTATTTTCACCAGTCATATACACTGGTTATTTTTACTGGCCACTGATATTCTTTCTAGTCTCCTGTAATGAAATGACAATCTTACATCACTGCACTGATTGGTGCCCGTGTTTTGTTGAATGCGGCTGAGACAAAACACGGGGCACCAGTCAGTGTAGTGGTGTAGATCGTGATGACCTGCCACTAGCGGATCCAGTATAAGTGCCTCTAGTACCACCACTGGTTGAACTACTGCTACTGTTGTATTTTCACCAGCCTTTTACACTGGGTAGTGTACTGGCCACTGATATTCTTTCTAATCTCCTTTAATGAAATGACAATCTCACACCACTGTACTGATTGGTGCACGTGTTTTGTTGAATGCGGCTGAGACAAAACACGGGCACCAGTCAGTGTAGTGGTGTAGATCGTGGTGACCTGCCACTAGCTGATCCAGTATAAGTGCCTCTAGTACCAGCACTGGTTGAACTACTGCTACTGCTGCATTTTCACCAGTCTTAAACACTGGGTATTGTACTGGTCAATGGTATTCTTTCTATTCTCCTGTATTAAGAGGACAATTTTACACCACTGAACTGACTGGTGCTTGTGTTTTGTTGAATGCGGTTCAGACAAATCATGATCACTAGTCAGTGCAGTCGTGTAAGTGGGTTGTGAGCTGCCACTTGCGTTTCAGTAGAAGTGCCTCCATGTCCTGACGTCACAGGTGATATATAATGAACATTGGAGAGGGTAGCGTCATTCTGCTGCGAGACACACACGTGTATGGAGCTCAATCTTTGTTTAAATAATTGGAATTTTAAAGGATTAACAAAAAGGTAAATAATACTAATTACAAGTTCAGATCGTAGTATTAGTTGAACCAGTGGGCACCTCTACTGAAGCCGCCAGTGGTAGCTCACCACCCACGTACACCACTGCACTGACTGGTGCCCGTGTTTTGATGAATACGACTGAGACTGATCACGATCACCAGTCAATGAAGTGGTGTGCTTTGGAGGTGAGCTGCCACTTGTGGCTCCAATAGAAATGCCTCAAGTTGACCTACATTGGTGTCTCCAAGTAGAGTGACACTTTCCTCTCTGTTCTTATATATATTACCTGTAACGTCAGCATTAACCAATCAGTGAGTTCAATTTTGATTTGTTATGTTTAGCTCTGGTTTACAATTATACTGTGCATGCATTTATTTTCACCAGTTATATACACTGGTTATTTTTACTGGCCACTGATATTCTTTCTAGTCTCCTGTAATGAAATGACAATCTTACATCACTGCACCGATTGGTGCACGTGTATTGTTGAATGCGGCTGAGACAAAACACGGGCACCAGTCAGTGTAGTGGTGTAGATCGTGGTGACCTGCCACTAGCTGATCCAGTATAAGTGCCTCTAGTACCAGCACTGGTTGAACTACTGCTACTGCTGCATTTTCACCAGTCTTATACACTGGGTATTGTACTGGTCAATGGTATTCTTTCTATTCTCCTGTATTAAGAGGACAATTTTACACCCCTGAACTGACTGGTGCTTGTGTTTTGTTGAATGCGGTTCAGACAAATCATGATCACTAGTCAGTGCAGTCGTGTAAGTGGGTTGTGAGCTGCCACTTGCGTTTCAGTAGAAGTGCCTCCAGGTGCTGACGTCACAGGTGATATATAATGAAGATTGGGGAGGATAGCGTCATTCTGCTGCGAGACACACAAGTGTATGGAGCTCAATCTTTGTTTAAATAATTGGAATTTTAAAGGATTAACAAAAATGTAAGTAATACTAATTACAAGTTCAGATCGTAGTATTAGTTTAACCAGTGGGCACCTCTACTGAAGCCGCCAGTGGTAGCTCACCACCATCGTACACCACTGCACTGACTGGTGCCCGTGTTTTGATGAATACGACTGAGACTGATCACGATCACCAGTCAATGAAGTGGTGTACGTGGGAGGTGAGCTGCCACTGGTGGCTCCAATAGAAATGCCTCCAGTTGACCTACATTGGTGACTCCAATTAGAATGACGCTTTCCTCTCTGTTCTTATATATATTACCTGTAACGTCAGCATTAACCAATCAGTGAGTTCAATTTTGATTTGTAATTTTTAGCTCTGGTTTACAATTATACTGTGCATGCATTTATTTTCACAAGTCATATACATTGGTTATTTTTACTGGCCACTGATATTCTTTCTAGTCTCCTGTAATGAAATGACAATTTTACGTCACTGCACTGATTGGTGCCCGTGTTTTGTTGAATGCGGCTGAGACAAAACACGGGCACCAGTCAGTGTAGTGGTGTAGATCGTGGTGACCTGCCACTAGCGGATCCAGTATAAGTGCCTCTAGTACCAGCACTGGTTGAACTACTGCTACTGCTGCATTTTCACCAGTCTTATACACTGGGTATTGTACTGGTCAAAGGTATTCTTTCTATTACTAATTACAAGTTCAGATCGTAGTATTAGTTGAACCAGTGGGCACCTCTACTGAAGCCGCCAGTGGTAACTCACCACCCACGTACACCACTGCACTGACTGGTGCCCGTGTTTTGATGAATACGACTGAGACTGATCACGATCACCAGTCAATGAAGTGGTGTACGTGGGAGGTGAGCTGCCACTGGTGGCTCCAATAGAAATGCCTCCAGTTGACCTACATTGGTGTCTCCAAGTAGAGTGACGCTTTCCTCTCTGTTCTTATATATATTACCTGTAACGTCAGCATTAACCAATCAGTGAGTTCAATTTTGATTTGTTATGTTTAGCTCTGGTTTACAATTATACTGTGCATGCATTTATTTTCACAAGTCATATACATTGGTTATTTTTACTGGCCACTGATATTCTTTCTAGTCTCCTGTAATGAAATGACAATCTTACATTTCTGCACTGATTGGTGCCCGTGTTTTGTTGAATGCGGCTGAGACAAAACACGGGCACCAGTCAGTCTAGTGGTGTAGATCGTGGTGACCTGCCACTAGCGGATCCAGTATAAGTGCCACTAGTACCAGCACTGGTTGAACTACTGCTACTGCTGCATTTTCACCAGTCTTATACATTGGGTATTGTACTGGTCAATGGTATTCTTTCTATTCTCCTGTATTAAGATGACAATTTTACACCACTGAACTGACTGGTGCTTGTGTTTTGTTGAATGCGGTTCAGACAAATCATGATCACTAGTCAGTGCAGTCGTGTAAGTGGGTTGTGAGCTGCCACTTGCGTTTCAGTAGAAGTGCCTCCAGGTCCTGACGTCACAGGTGATATATAATGAAGATTGGGGAGGATAGCGTCATTCTGCTGCGAGACACACAAGTGTATGGAGCTCAATCTTTGTTTAAATAATTGGAATTTTAAAGGATTAACAAAAAGGTAAATAATACTAATTACAAGTTCAGATCGTAGTATTAGTTTAACCAGTGGGCACCTCTACTGAAGCCGCCAGTGGTAGCTCACCACCCACGTACACCACTGAGACTGATCACGATCACCAGTCAATGAAGTGGTGTACTTTGGAGGTGAGCTGCCACTGGTGGCTCCAATAGAAATGCCTCCAGTTGACCTACATTGGTGTCTCCCAGCAGAGTGACGCTTTCCTCTCTGTTCTTATATATATTACCTGTAACGTCAGCATTAACCAATCAGTGAGTTCAATTTTGATTTGTTATGTTTAGCTCTGGTTTACAATTATACTGTGCATGTATTTATTTTCACCAGTCATATACACTGGTTATTTTTACTGGCCACTGATATTCTTTCTAGTCTCCTGTAATGAAATGACAATCTTACATCACTGCACTGATTGGTGCCCGTGTTTTGTTGAATGCGGCTGAGACAAAACACGGGCACCAGTCAGTGTAGTGGTGTAGATCGTGGTGACCTGCCACTAGCTGATCAGTATAAGTGCCTCTAGTACCAGCACTGGTTGAACTACTGCTACTGCTGCATTTCACCAGTCTTATACACTGGGTATTGTACTGGTCAATGGTATTCTTTCTATTCTCCTGTATTAAGAGGACAATTTTACACCACTGAACTGACTGGTGCTTGAGTTTTGTTGAATGCGGTTCAGACAAATCATGATCACTAGTCAGTGCAGTCGTGTAAGTGGGTTGTGAGCTGCCACTTGCGTTTCAGTAGAAGTGCCTCCAGGTGCTGACGTCACAGGTGATATATAATGAAGATTGGGGAGGATAGCGTCATTCTGCTGCGAGACACACAAGTGTATGGAGCTCAATCTTTGTTTAAATAATTGGAATTTTAAAGGATTAACAAAAAGGTAAGTAATACTAATTGCAAGTTCTGATCGTAGTATTAGTTTAACCAGTGGGCACCTCTACTGAAGCCGCCAGTGGTAGCTCACCACCCACGTACACCACTGCACTGACTGGTGCCCGTGTTTTGATGAATACGACTGAGACTGATCACGATCACCAGTCAATGAAGTGGTGTACGTGGAAGGTGAGCTGCCACTGGTGGCTCCAATAGAAATGCCTCCAGTTGACCTACATTGGTGACTCCCAGTAGATTGACGCTTTCCTCTCTGTTCTTATATATATTACCTGTAACGTCATCATTAACCAATCAGTGAGTTCAATTTTGATTTGTTATGTTTAGCTCTGGTTTACAATTATACTGTGCATGTATTTATTTTCACCAGTTATATACATTGGTTATTTTTACTGGCCACTGATATTCTTTCTAGTCTCCTGTAATGAAATGACAATCTTACATCACTGCACTGATTGGTGCCCGTGTTTTGTTGAATGCGGCTGAGACAAAACACGGGCACCAGTCAGTGTAGTGGTGTAGATCGTGGTGACCTGCCACTAGCTGATCCAGTATAAGTGCCTCTAGTACCAGCACTGGTTGAACTACTGCTACTGCTGCATTTTCACCAGTCTTATACACTGGGTATTGTACTGGTCAATGGTATTCTTTCTATTCTCCTGTATTAAGAGGACAATTTTACACCCCTGAACTGACTGTGCTTGTGTTTTGTTGAATGCGGTTCAGACAAATCATGATCACTAGTCAGTGCAGTCGTGTAAGTGGGTTGTGAGCTGCCACTTGCGTTTCAGTAGAAGTGCCTCCAGGTCCTGACGTCACAGGTGATATACATGTATAATGAAGATTGGGGAGGATAGCGTCATTCTGCTGCGAGACACACAAGTGTATGGAGCTCAATCTTTGTTTAAATAATTGGAATTTTAAAGGATTTACAAAAAGGTAAGTAATACTAATAACAAGTTCAGATCGTAGTATTAGTTTAACCAGTGGGCACCTATACTGAAGCCGCCAGTGGTAGCTCACCACCCACGTACACTGGTGCCCGTGATTTGTCTCAACCACTTTTCAACAAAAAACGACCATCAGTCAATGCAGTGGTGTAAGATTGTCCTCACAATACAGGAGAATAGAAAGAATACCATTGGCCAGTAAAAATAATCAGTAAATGTGACTGGTGAAAATATGCGCTTTTGGCATGGCCTTTTACAATATATGCCAAAATGACAAAAATAAATGTTCAACAGGTGGAAATAATTGTAATGAGAACTGCAGTAGGCAAGTCGAATGATGACATTACAAGTACCTGCTACCAGAAATTTGAAGATTTTACCGGTTGGCAGAAAGAGCCAATATTTATATGCTTTATATAGCAGCAGATTTTTTTAAAATTCTTTTAAAACTTTTTTATTTGCGATTGATTTTTTATATTTCTATATCATTTGAAAGTTCTTTATATTCATATTTTTGAAATATAAGTTGAATTGTATTGTTTGCTTTTGAAATAGACAATTACTGATCTCGGACTTTTTTCCCTATGGGCACCAGACCGTGAATAAGATAAGTATTCCCGACATTGCTTTTCACGTAGAGTAAATGCATTTTTTTGGGGGGTCAGCAGTCATTTTCAGTACCGTCAGACAGTCTCTTACAAATAGTTCTGCGTCTATGTTTTCTTCCTGTCCCCATTCTTGCAACATTTCTTTTGTTTCTTTTTCAGTTAGCCATTTTTTGATTGCTGGTGGTATTTTCAATTCTTGCGTGTACCATTCAAAATACGTTTTGTTATCTATATTGTTACGTAACGCGTACTCTTCATTCGCCCCCTGGTAAAGTATTGTAGGGTTAAGGTTGACGAATTTTTACCTGTCATCGTTATCTCCTGAAATGTTTTGCTTTATCGTCCATGTGGTATTTCTGCATTCTTCCAGTAATCTATTTGTTGGAACAGCATCGTTCTTTTTAATTGTTCTTTGCGATGAATTTTCGCTCGTTTCATGTGGCGGTTGAATTATGTTCTTAAGCCGTTACGATTGCTTCCTAAGTATTATCTCGGAATCGTACTCATGTACTGTCCAAATGATGCTGTTGATCTTACATTCTGCGATAACACATCTTTGTTGAGCTTCTCCAGTTTTTTTATCAGGAATGTAAATGAGTATTTTTCAGATATTGTATACTTTGATTTTGCAATAATGTGCAAGTGTATGCCATGATGTTAGCAATTTTATCTTTTAATATACCATGGAAAGTTAGCTCACAGGATTCTCCATTGCTGAACTGTTTAATTGCATTTACTATTGTCCTGTCAGTGACCGTTAGGTCTTCATAAATTACCATTGGTGTTGTCCATCTTTCAATGTCAGTGTTATGAGTTTCCCATGTAGAGGAACATGTCTTGTCATTCTTCTATTATCTTTAGTTAATTGTACTCCCCCTTCCTCATCTAAAATGCCACTTTTGGTGTGAACTATTCTTCAGTTACATTGCAGGTAAGTCATTGATTACTTCACTGTAAGTTCCAGCCACTGAAAATTAAGGAATTTTATCCCTTTTTCTTTATATCCCCCCGTTTTACCTTAGTTTTTTCATTTGTTTAATACTTTCATAATCAACTGCTATTATATTGATATCATTTTCATTTTTGTATTGTTTTATTTATAAAAGGTAAAACATTGTTCGTCAGTGTTGCAATCTCCTGCCTTGTGTTTTTATTGTTTGTTTTACTCTGTCTATTGAATTGCTGAAGTTATTTATTGTACTTGTCATGGAGTCTATTGTTTCATGTATATTTAAAACTGTTTATGTACGATTTCAGCCATTGTCTTACTGTCTGTGTTGCATTTTTTGCTACTGCCAGTAATTCATTATATTCATCTACTTCGTTTTACTGCCAGTCCTATAATCACTGTCCATTTGCTGTCAGGCTGAATAAGTGCCCAAATGGGTCTGTTTCTTTGAATCCTGTCACTTGATGGATTGTACTTGTTGCATTAATAAGTTAACAATTGAGTCATCAGCTACGGCAGAAATCTATAAAAAAATATCAATTGGAGGGAAACCTACTCAAGTAAATATCAAGAAAAAACAAAGTATGCTGATGACAAGGAAACCAATTATAATTACATATAACCAACCTGAAATTCGTACTACTGAGAAGAAACCACATAAAACAGTTGTTATGCAAACGTTGAACTTAGGAAATTTGATGTAATTAAAAAATAATCAAAAAAGGGTTGCATTACCCATTCTTTTTTATAAAAAACATTCTTTGAAATAGGTTTCGGTAATTTCCAGGAATATCCAGCGTGTACATACCAATATAGGACTATGAAACCGAAGAAGATGATGATACAAATGTTGAGATCTTGTTTAAAAAACAAGGTGAAGAGATTATAACAGAGCTAGATGCCATTGGCTATTATAAATATGATCGATCAATAATTTATTATGAAAATGAGTAATATACAATATAAAAGCTACCTAAATTATTAAAAGACTGACCCGTATAAAAGTGAAGACAAGTAGGCAAAGTGTTACGATATTTTTATTTTTACCTGTCACGGATGGGCATAGTGTCACTTTAACCATTGACTGATTTAGGAAATTTATAATATATATTAGATATAGAGAATAACAGGTTGCTGTCTTTTGAGAAAGGGTTTCTCAGACGAGGTTAGATATGGTCCTGGAAGGGGCGAGGCTTGCCGAGCCCCTTCCGGACCATATCTAGCCGAGTCTGAGAAATCCCTTCCTCAAAAGACAGTAACCTGTTATTCTTTTTATCATGCCTCTATTATGACTTTGCATCTTATTTTTTTAATTCGGGGCGCTAAATTTCTGAAAGTACGGTAACCACAAGAGGGTTTTACGCCAAAAAAGTAGTCCGAGGGTTTTTACCAATAATTTTATAACACAACACAATTTTTGGTACAATCTGTTTTAACAATTTATTTACTGTGTATTATCATAAATATTAAGCAAAGTCAATTAAACAATACCAACAATAAACATCATCAATGCTGATCTGGCGTAGCAACATAGTGTTCTCGAGTCACTGACTGAGAAAGGTTGATGTTCTCAGACAGGCTTTATCAGGCAGTTGTCATAGTAATGGCATGATAAAATATGTTCAATATCATTCGATTTTGTTAGGTAATTTTTGAATATAATTATAATGTTTACATGTACTTGTTATTGGAAACATTTTTTTCTCATTCTTGAAATTCATAGTCGTCATTATTAGAAATGATCATCAAAAATGATTACTGTTAGATCATCAAAAATGATTACTGTTAGATTACACAATGTAAATTTTGAAATGTGACCCTATTTAAAGCAGATGTGAAAGTTACTAATGCGATAACACAGATTACCGGTATCACATTTACTGACATAACTGTTTGATAAAACTTGACAGTCCATACAATGAAACAAAATATATTAAATGTATGATTTAATTGTTTGGAACAGAAAAAAGGTGGTTTATTGATGGCTGAATCAGACAAAGCCGTGTCCAATGGGAAAAGAAGTTTAAAGACAAAGTCGCCTCATCTATTGCTTCAACCAGGAAGCCTTGCCGTGAGAACAACTCCTAAACAAACATGGAAACAAAAATATAAGGATTTAGAAGAAGAATATAGAAGTGTTAAAGAAAAATTGAAGGATTATGAGGAAGAAAGAAACCGATGTAATAAGGTATGCACTCTTTCATTTTTAATAAAAGTAAGTGAATTAAATAACGCTTAAACATTTTATATTTTCTTTGATAAGGCTAAACAGCGTTCTTTAGAATTTCGACGGAAACCTTATTATCGTGTTACAAATTCTATACTCACTATTGGCTACATCGTTTCCTATGAAACGCAAACATAGTTATCACAATGTTTTTTAACATTTGTTTTGTTTTCTTCCTAAATCGCACGATTTACCTAACTTCTGACAGCGGTTACTTCAACTGGTAAGTACTGGAAGTATCTAAGTGTGACATAATTGGTGTGATTGAATATTACTTAATTAAACCGGTGACATAGGGCGGGAGTGATGTTGCTTTTTTCCATTTCACCTATAATCTTAATTAACATCCTTGCAGAACTACAAAAAGGACATACCCTATTTTCCTTCATGTGCTTTTTGAATGGTAACTTTACAAAATGTTCATAATATGTTTATACAGTTATTAGTAACTAACAAACATACTATTCATGTCTAATAAATGAGTGCAGTTATCTTACAGAAATTTATTATTAAAAACTCACATCTGTGCCGAACAAACCACCGTTTTTTCCTTGAATGTCAACAATACACTTCTACCAGAACTGCCACTTTCCAAATATGCCTTAAAGCTAAATCTTTTCAGATCTTCATCCTCACACCATCACTGTTTATTATTGTAATGTTTTTATTAACATTTCCATTTCATTATTTCACTGATATAATGGCAAGATATTCCATCGAAGTTAATACATTTTTTCAGCTCTAAATTGGCACTCTTCTTTAAAGTCAATAGAAAATTCTCTATTTCTCAATATTTCGAGCATATCTATAAAATAAAAACAAAACATCCGCTTAATGAACAGTTAAAAAAGAAAAACAAAATCTGGAAACAAAGTGATCCCTCGGAAGCATTAATCACAACAAAATTACGAGAGAATTGCAGACTCTGTTTGATTGAGTCTGTACATGAGGGAAAATGAATACGTGCAACATCCCTCACGCCCCCTAGCACCGGCTTGGGCGGTACTCAATTCTCAACACTTAATAAGGCATCAATGATCCCGATGGACCAGAACAAAATAACAACACTGAAGTGAAGTAGGGGGCAACTTTTTGCAGCTGCCACACAGCACTTGACGCCTGCTGTTGTGAAAGAACCTTTATAAGAATTCTATGCTTTCGAATCTGACCATTTTTCATCATTGTTTTGAATATCATTTTGTTAATTTTATGTAATATATGAATAAAAATGTTTGAACTAAGCTATTTGTAATTGAATTTTTTCAATTTAACAATTCGGTAATGATTTAAATTTATTGTATTTATCGTATTTAATTCCTGTATGAAAAATTATTAATTGTTACTTCCAAATATACTGACTGTCTATATTCAGATATCTCGGGAACATGAAGCCCACCTTGTCAGTAGTACTAGCTGCGAGAATTTACAAGTTGGTAACCATAACAAAATTCATGTAGTACAGACCTTTGATGCTGATAAGCTAGAACAACTTCTTAAAAGATATGACAAAAAACTGGAGAAAACCGAAGGACAAATACAAATAATGTCAAGCAGAATTAAGGTACATGGTAACATGTCGGAATTTTTTTTTATTAAATTACTTTCAACCTATTAATGAAGTGTTCGATGACAGAGTTTGTATACTATATTTGATTAATCAATATGTTGATTAAGTCAGATGCATTCTTAACAAATTTTCACAACACGATATGTACTCAACACAACCGATCAAAGCCAAGATTGAAGTGGGTTTTCTTGTTGCATTTTTTTCTATCGCTGAATTCATCAATTTTTATCGTAATGTTGCGTAAGTATAGATAGCTTATGTATCGGATACTATTTTTAATTACTGTTATCAAATATTAATATTTACTTTATCAAACGTTCACTTATTATAGTATATTGAGAATGGTACTATTTGTATTGTGATTTAATTTCACAAGATATTTCATGTAATGAACAAGTTGCAAAACGCATTAAGATGGAGTCAATACATGCACCTAAACATGTATTATACAAGATGGTGTATGTCTGCTGAAAAAAAATCATAACTCCCTATTTTATTCACTCTCCTACGTACCCACGTATGGCCCCATGAAAAATTCTAAACGGTTGCAGCAAAGAACTGTGCATTGTTTCTTTTACTTCTGTGTAAAAACCTTAAATGTCAGTAGTACTTGACTGTCTATTCGCCTATTGACATCCACGTATGGCCCCGTGTTAAAACTAAAATGACTTCGGTAAAAGGCTGTTTATTGTCTCTTGCAGGTAGAAAACTTTATACCTATCACTGTATATTAAATTACTTAAAGTAAATTATTGTATACATCAGTATGATTATATATATCATATACATATATGTGATAGTACATTTAGTTGTTTTATCAACATAGATAATAATCTGTGCTCCATATAACTACATTTTCAGCACAAGAACAAGTCATATGTGTTAAATATTAGCCATAAAACAACACAACCAAACACGATGAAACTTTAATGAATTTCTAAGTGGTTTACTACTAGTAACTGATTATTGGAGAGGTCATCAGACCTCTCCACAGTGTTGAGAATGATTGCTGGCGGCATCCATTTTTGCGTATCAAATTGAAGCTAATGCATCGCATTTTAGCCTTAAAAACATTAGAATCAGTCTACAAAAATGTTATGCGCATGCTCCGCCTCAAAATACGACTTAACTTAAACGAAAAATAAACATCGAAGTGAACAAATCGGTACAAGGAAAAATCGGAAAATAGCATTTACGTTACTTAACACTACGAGCAATGATTCATTCCATTTTTAATCCTTATATACTAGTACTTGTTTTCTGAATAGCGAAAATTTGCTGCTTCTTTCACTTTTGAACTGGTATGACTAAATTACGCAACGGAGATTTATTGGCGAAAAAGGCGAACATGGCAAAACTTTTTCTGAAGTTTGATTTTCTTGGCATATTGTGGTTGGAGGCATGCAGCAGTATATATTGTTTATTCCAATCAAATGATATATACATTATTAATGTAAATCTGGGACTTAAAATTGTTTGATTAACATACTTTATGCCCGTATTGCAAAATCTCTGGTGCCTTTTATATCTCCAAATATTTTCGAAATTAACAAATTTTCAACAGCTGCAAAAAGACCTCTCGCATGCTTCTTTTTAAAGAAGCAAACTTGTGTCAAATTATGTTGACCCGAAAGCAGAATTCTGTTCAGCGTTTAGTGCGTCACAAAGATTTACTTCGACTGTTTCTTTAGACGAAAGGAACCATACAGCAGATCGCAACAAATGTCACAGAAGGATTCATTCAGAACTTAATATCAATATACATGTCTAATCTTATCAAAAGTGCTCTTTTTTGTTCGGAAACTAGCCTGAGATTGTATATAAGATTGTACTGTCTAAATGCTAATTTATTACTTTAGTAAATAGCTTTCCAAAAGTGCCAAGTAGGGCAATACCTCTGTAATTTTCAGGGTTATCAACATCCCACTTTTATGAATAAGTTGATTAAGTCCACTTTCCAGCTTGCTGCGAAATAACCTAAATGAACAAACTATAACCAATGATTGGTTACATCAATTATTTCTCCATTCGATTATTTCTCGAAATGTTCAGAAATATATAGTTTTCTATATTTTGTACGGACCCCGGTCATTACAAAACTTTGCCCTTAAATATTGATGTTGCAAAATAAAGCGGTAAGAATTAACTTCCATGCAAATACCACAGAATATCAGCTTTGAGCATAGCTGTAGGTCATAAAAATGTTTAACGTCTAATAACACCTAAAAAGTAATTTAATGCAATATAAAAATTAGGGTAGCTCTAACAATGGCTGTTCAGCCAACCAAAGACGCCGCCACTCAAGTTGTTCTTACGTATTGATGCCACACGGCACACAGTATCCTTTCGTTCTCCGTCTACTTAACAAGGACTGCTCCTTTCATTTCAGGGCACCAACAATAAACAGTCAACAAGCACGTGGAGTAGTTTCTTTTTCTCTTTTGCTGGTGTCTTAAACATCATCCGCGACGAGAGAAGTAATTGTTTTAATTATGATATGCTATTTATGTGAAGATAAGAGTAACAAAGGTTTGAATAACGGCAGACTTATAAATTATATTCGTACTAAACTGGTTTAGATTGTGGATTAAAGTATTTTTCAAAATGTCATAATAAGTTTTTTTCTAGTCATCTGCCGCAATGTAATATGTTCATGCCAAACATAAAAGTTTGTCAGGTTTACAAAATTATATCCTGCATTGTAAGTGTAATGGGCATTATAATACTGAACAAAAGTTTCAACCAGACCATTAAGCTTTGTTGAATAATCATAATACTGGTGATGGTACCATTTTTTAAAATTAATTCGGAAACGAAAGGGAAATTAATGACGCATTTAATGATGTGAAAACAAGATGTGTATTTTTTTCTATTAAACACACTGTGCATTTGATGTTAACTACTCCCTAAATCAAATGATTTTTAGTTTTTATTTGTCAATGTTCCATCAGAACGTCAGAACCAAATTGGGCGAAGGTATGGTCATCATAATTTTTTCTTGTTCTTGTGTTTTATTTTGATAGAGGGATGCGAAACCATCAATTCATCAAAGTATACATTCCCACCACGTGCAGCCATTTCTGAAATGTTAGAGACATCAATTCCATTGGTTTTACTTACATCCGCACATCCGGACCATCAAGTTCGCGAACTTTAAAAGACGTTTTAAATTGAAATCATATGTATGATATTAATTTGCCTTCGATTCGATATATGCTTGTAAATATGAAACAACGTGCTATTATAAAATGTATGAGTACAATATGTAAAATGTTCTATTCAAGCTTATATGTTATTTTTATTCTGTACAGTTGAAAAGTTTCTATTATTAATTGAGGTAATTTTTATTGTCATTATTTATTCTAATGATTTAGTTATTTCATTTTTTTTAGCAATATGAGTAGTGCTAATATGAATATGACAAACATGATTTGAATCACCTTTGATTGTACCAAAACACTAATGGAAATTTTGCACCAATACTTCGGTTTATTTCAAATCGGACAAATAAACAAAACATCAAATCAAGCATGTAAAGACTTACGAAACAAAAATATGACCGCAATATCAATGCAAAAAATGAACACATGAGAAAAATCTAGAGGAATTTGCACAACCTAAGAATCTATAATGTAAATGTGCAATACAGTCCAACAAGAAGTAAAGCTGAACATTACCTAGAGATCAAACTATGAACAGCGTCATAGAGTGTCACTCACTTGCTGCGAGTCATTATTTTGGAGAATTATCACATCTGGCAAAGTGAATTTTGTGTTTTGAAAAACTTGAACATAATTTCGTTTCCAGTTATAGGAAGCGAAAATCTAAAAGTTAAGGTTACTACTTACACAGGAAGATATCTTGGATTCGGACCATGCTCCGGTCTGAAAAATGACTGTATGATTTACTAATATATCAAGTAATTGTCCCAAGCAATTTTATTTGTTTGTTTTTTTTACGTTTGAGGTTATTTAAACTACATAAAATATAAATATTAGTGATGTTAAACCTGAACAGTCATAGATCATACGGGTCAAAGTCTAAACTGTTACTAAAACGATAATATAGTCATTAGTTCTACGTTTACTGTACAGAGGGACACTATGTATCTGTTTGTGAAATTCAAAAGTTTTCGAATATATGAGGGATTTATAAGTGTTTTTCGGGAATGTTAACAAATGTCGTTTGAAATAATGTAAAAGAATTGTAGTGGAAAAAAACGAGAATAAAGATATGGACACAAAATTTGAAAAAGCAAACACTAGTAAATTGACTATCGACAAGAAACATGTTCGACATGTAGCAGTGAAAACAAAAATTCCTCAACCAAGACGTCCTTTGTTACTTCTTCCATACGGAAGCTTGTATCCTAAAGAAAGAAAAGAAGAAAACTGGAAAGAAAAATATCAAGCATTTCAAAGAGAAAACAGATTACTAAGGGAGGAAAATGCGCAGCAAAAAGAAAAGATACTCTCGTTAGAACAAGATCAGCGTAGATTATTAGTGGTAGGTAACATTCACTAAAATATATAGCATAGAAATATTATATTTTGTTTATAACAACACTACTCGGGAAATCGAAACTTCATTACGACAGTGTTAAGTAACTCAAGAGGTTTGAACTTTGACTTAATATCAAGTTTGTCGTTTTTACAAATGTGTAGATTATCAAAACCGTTTATAATGTTAACAACTTAATAACTGAGAACATTTTATGTAATATGCGATTATATGTAAACATATCAACTATAGTTAAGAATTATTGTAACTTAGAGGACGGCCTAATGTGTCTATTGATAGCAAGGGTGTTTTCCTGTTTAGAATCATATACCTTCTGTATTCTGAACGGACAGTTCCTTACATATTATAATCGAATGTCCCTGTCTTGATTCAAACTTAGATCACTGATGGGCAAGTGATTTAAACTTAGATCACTGACTGGAAAGTGATTTAAAGTCTGCGGCCTTTACCACCTGGCTAGCCGGTTCCATGTTATTCCAGTTGCTTTAATACATTCTATCATCATCATCATCACCATCATCATCATCATCATCAGCATCATTATTAAAGCTATATGCACACTCTCTATCTATGTATTCAGTATCACATCACTCTCTTTCGAGTATTTTGTGCAGGTGGAAATGTTCTGATGCAATAGCCATTAATAAATAGACTGTCGTTTCATGACTTTATAATTATTGTTTGAATGATAATATCATGAAAAGTTTTATGTAGTTGTTCAGGTGTTTACGTCTCTTTATATTTCACTGAATATAAAAATGAAGCAACCCATCCCAGAGGTGCCAGCATCACAATATATGATATCACAGGACCTAACCAAACTTTTGACTTAAAGCTCTCTATGTGTAGGTAATTTAAAAGTCGTATAACCTATAATAAGTTGTATGATTTGGGGATAAAGTGATTGATTATTTGATATAATAAAAAAAATCTTTTTGCACCTCGATGATGTAAATGATTTATAAATTAACAAAAAATAATTTAAAATATACCGTTGTTAAATCATCAAAAAGCTATACAATATCAGAAGTCTAAGAAAGAACGCCATATTCAATCTCAGATTTCAAAAATTTTACAGTATATGGGAAGTCATACACCTTCTAGACCAACCTCTTAATAAGTAGGACTATGTTACTGTCTATACTGTTCAAACAACAACAACAACAACCATAAAAAACAAGAACAAAAGCAAAAAAAAAGCAAAAAAAAAAACATGCAATGCCCCTGTAAAATGGCGACATACCAGGTTTCTAATTATTCGGATTTTTATACAGCAAGTGACATAAGTTAAAAGCTGCCCGTTCTTCACTTTAGTTCAGTGTTATTACCTTCGGGGCCAATGATTCCTGAACGTTAGAATTAACGAATTTAAAACCGCCGGTGCTTGGGATGTGAGAGATGCCGCACTTAAACATTATCTCTCTATACAGACTCACTCAAACCGAGTCTGGAATTTTGATATCACTGCTTCCAAGGGATCACCCTTATTTATCGATTCTTAGAGTGAATGTGGAGAGGAAAAGTTTTTTTAAAAATAAATATAAAGAAATTGTAAGATGAGTAAAATCTACCGATATCGAATACTGTCACATTGATGCTAGTGTAAAGAAAAATAAATAAAAAACCCATAAAAATCAGATTTTTTCAAAACTTTCATACTTTGTCCGCCATATTTGTTTAACGACAATAATTATAGCGTTTTAATTTGCTGACAGGTGTTTGGTTGGTTTTTGGACTGAGTTTGCCTAAACTTTATCAATAAAGCGCGGAAAATCTGCAATATTGTATACAATCATTGCATCCAAATTAATTTTCGAATGAAAAAACCTTTACATGTAAATTTATCATTTTATTTGTTACTTGTTAAAAAGAATTTCTGAAATTCATAATGTCATTCCAGATTAATCACGACTTTGTTCAACGGTTATTTGTTCAGCCAGATAATTGTGAAAATGTTCAAATTGGAAGTCACAATACACAAGTGGTACATAATCACTGCGATGTATCGTTGATAAAAGATCTCATTAGTCAACTTGAAAACAGCATCAAAGAGGTCAATGAGAAACGGAAGCTGATGGAAGTTCTTATGCAAGATGTTACCTCTCAGTTTAAGGTGATTTTTTTGTTAGAATAGTTCTTATTACATTCTTATAACTTATAAGTAGTTTTTAAAAATATATCCAAATATCAAAATACTGAAGTAGTTATCATAAACATTCAAGTACTTTATTTTTCAAAAATGTTTTATATTGCTTCTCTTTAACTCACGTTATTGTGGAAGTCTTCACAGCTTACCACTGCCTGCATCATCATCATCAAAACCTTCCGCACAAGTCTGTTATTACATGCTAGAAATAATATAGTTCTTATTTAACCTTTAACCTGTTGGAACTAAATAAAGACTGATTCATATTTCCATCAGCCAAGCTAGCCCGCACCTCCCCGATGTCTGACAAGGGTATTTACTGTTCACTGCTAAATTTTGTAATTTTGATAAACGAAATCGCCTAAAACTATGTGCTGGCAAAGCATTACACATACCTAGCCAGTTAAGAGTTAATATAAATCACTTCATACAATAAAAAATACAAATAATACACATTTTGTATGAGCTGGCTCCTTGGACCTGATACTCTGTGGTCAAACAAGTTTTACTAAATAACTGAAACACAATATTAGCAAATGAAGCAGAAATCAAGCAACATTAACTAAATATTTAAAAGCTCAAATATCATTTATGATTCCAATTTTGACTTGTCTCTTATTTATCTTATTATTTTACATATTTTGTAATTGTGTTAGCATAATTAGTTACGTATTTTGCAGTGTCATTTGGTCTAAGTTACATGTGCATACTGAATTTACTGATTATATTAACTTATGTGCATTTTAGAAATAATACGTTTTATGAAACTTTCAGAAAATGATGGAGTATTCTAAGATAAGCACAAGGAGATATACAGCAGATAGTGAAGGACATAGACAGGTTAATGACATGCAGCAGTTAACAGAACAACTAGCAGATACTGAAACGGCTTGTCCAGATTGTTCACTTTCCAGAATATCTCAGCAAATAACAGACTTGCAATTAAAATTAGATACCTTTAATGAGTTGTGTTCTTCCAAAAGAGTGTCGTCCACGCTATCATTAGATGACAGAAAGCTATCGAGAAACAATAGCAAATGTGACTGTCGAAGAAAGATTCATTCTGAACATAACTTACATATGTAGGAAAAACCATGCAAGTGATTACCAGTTTTTCTTTCATGGTTGGTCTAGTGTGTACTTTGAACCCTTATCTTTTGTTTAATGAACTAGTTCAATTTTCATGTAGTGTAAGTCAACAGTACAGAGCCTGGTCAGATTGAAAGGATATAAAGCAAGCTAGCCTGGCTCTATACTGGTAGCAAAGGCTATTAACTTTCGGTCCCAGCAGGGTAAGGGTTAAGAAGAAAAGTTACAATCATTTTTGTATTTACCTGTTTGAATCAACATAACTTTTGCTGCATAAGTGATATTCAAGTACTCAAATAAAAGTGATGACACTCCAGCTGTCGTTTTGGAACATATATCACAATATGACCATGTCTAGATAAAAAAAATCAGAATAGAGGATTAATCAAAAAGTTCTTGGCCCGATGTACTTCCGGTAGTCAGTGAACCCAACTAATGGTCTTACTTCTCAATATAATCGCCCTCTACATCAATGCACTTTGTCCACCTGTGCTCCAACTTGTTTAATCCTTCAAAAAAAGAACTCTCTATTTTGTCCTCGAAGATCTCATTGCCGCCTCCATGACACCTTCATTGCTTCCAAAACGTCTACCACGAAGCTTGGTTTTCAGTTTCGGAAACAGGTAGAAGTCAGAGGGAGCCAAGTCCGGAGAATATGGGGATGGGGAAGAATTTCAAAGCCGCAGTCAGTTGCAGCAGCCATCGCAACTTGGGATGTGTGAGCTGGCACGTTGTCGTGAAGGAGCAGAACGACATGAGTCAGTTTGTCCTTCTTTGTACGCGCGATTTATTGATGCAGACGTCTTAATTTGTCTGCATAGTATGTACCGTTTATGGTACGACCTTGGTCAAGAAAGTCAATCATGATTATCCCCTTACTATCCAAAGAAATTGAAGCCATCATCATTCCTGCTGATGGCACCCCCTTGAATTTCTTTGGAGGGGTGTGCCAGGGTGCTTCCACTGCATGCTCCGTTGTTGTTGTTTTTTGTTGTTGTTGTTGTTGTTTTTATTCTGGATCGAAGTGATGGACCCATGTTTCATCCTGAGTTACGAATCGGTAGATAAAATTAGGTTCATCCTCATAGCGAGACAAAAGATATCTTGAAATGTCAAGCCTGGTCCGTTTCTGGACGTCGGTTAACTGTCTGGTGACCAATCTAAAGGACACTTTTGACATGCCATAGCCATCAGTCAGAATTGCCTGAAGTGAACCAAAGATTATACCCACTTCCCTAGCAATGTTTCGCAGGTCTCGCCTTCTGTCGCACATGACCAGATCGTGCACAGCTTCGGCAGTTTCATCGTTGGTGGCCTCTTTTGGCCGCCCAGGGCGCTCATCATCTCCAATGCTCTCCTTGCCTCTCTTAAATTAAGCAGCCCATTTTTTTCACAGTACCATGTGAAAGGGACTCCTTCCCAAGTGTATCCACGAAGTCTTCATGGATTTCCTTGGTGGACATCCCTAATTACGACTCTGATTTCAACTTTCTCCATTTGGTCTAAATGACACACCCCTCTACTGATCAAAGTGTGTATCGACGTATCGTGTGTAAATGTCAGTGTAGTGGCTAGAAGTATATCGAACCGAGAACTTTTTGATCTTGCCTCTTATACCCTTCCAACCATTTATGTACATTTCTTGTTTTTCGTTTTGTCTGTTATGTTATTTATAAATCTGTTTTTAAAGGATGTTGTAATATAAGGTAATTTCAGAGGTTGTTCATCGCTGTATATAATTGATATTATTATTATGATAATTAATGAAGTTGCATTTAGAATGAATGCTGCACATTTAAATTGAGTCTGCCATTTTCATATAATGTTGTTATTTTATTGATTTTGAGTTACCAACGCTTTCCAAGATTAGTGTAATAAGCACAATCACAAATATTTATACCAAATTTGTACTTATAATGTACACAATATTAAAATAGAAAAAAAACAGATTCCCTAAAGAAAGTCCAACACAACAAAATTGAAAATGTTGCAGGCTTAAGCCTAAATTATTTTTGAAATGTATCTTTGAATTTACTCACGTTGAATGCAATATTTCATATGAAAGTTATCGATTAATTGCTAATGAGTTCGGATTATTGATGTATTTATTTTTCAAAGATTTTTGGTGTTGTTCTTTTATTTCTTATAATTATTATTGTAACCTAGCAATGTCGGTCAGTAAAATGTGTTCTGTTTTTCATGACTTTGTTGGGTTTCATGTTACTTTACATTTGCAATTGATTTCTTAATATGTATATTTTAGATTGGTAAATGCACATCATGTTGGCGAGATTTGTTCATGTATTCATGTCTTTCAGAATGACCTACCTCTTTGTTTTCTGTATACACGTGACCATGATGTTTAATTGTTACTTGTGTATGATTGATACAAAGATAAATATTAATTTGAAACATTTATGTTTGTGGTATCTTTATTTTCAATTTTTTTTCTTTTTGCTCGGTCTTAACACATGTAATTAGGTTCAGTTTAAATTAGGTTCAGTTTAAATAAAGAAAAATATGACTTTGTTTTCCTCCCAATAATTCTATATATGATATTAATTAGCTGATAAATCATATTATGTAATTCACCTAGATTTTTGACACTATATATCTAACTGCATTGAAACAAAAGAAGTATATACTATTGCTTTGCACCAAAACACTTGAAAATCAGTTGTTATGATGACCTGGATGACAGTCTCATTTGAACCTTAGTCATATAAACGTACCAGTATTTATAGCGACATATAATCTAGATCAACATGTTTTAGGGCTAAAATTAGTCTTATTGGTGTTATTTTAACAGATATATGCCGAATCGTTTACTCTCTAGTCTTTGTGATTTTCATACATTTGAACTCGGATGTTCCATGAAGTAAAATGGATCAAATATTATTTTAAATCTAATGCTAGCGCTTTCATATCCAGTTTAAGGTACAGCACTTTTTTTGCTGAAACTTCATTGTAACAGCTCTCGGAGGCATTTGATTTCTCACGCCAAAACTTAAATATTAAAATGTTAACTTTATTGTTTGTAATGTCTGATCCAGCTCTTCAACTAGTAAAAGGAAAACAATTTAACAAATTTTGTGATAATTTGAGCATATTAAGCACAATCAATGCAGGTGTTCCTCAGAGCTCTATTCATGGTCTTTTATTCTTCAATATATCTATAAACGACATTTTTGAGTTTATAAATCAAAGTAATTTCTTGTAACGCAGATAGAAATATTATCCTTTTAAAGTTAAAATCAAGAAGGAGCATTACGTTTTATTGATGATATATATGATGATTTTTTTCAAGCTCATACAATAGAGAGAAAAAAGAATCCTCAAAGAAAATCCAAAACTGATGTAAATGTTACAGGCTTATCATTTATTATATTCCCGAAAGAATATCGGACATATTATGTTATACCCCCTGGCGTCCGTCCGTCTGTCTGTATGTCCGTCCGTCAGTTAGCAATTTGGTTTCAGAGGCATAACTTAAGTTCCATTTGACTTCATAGGATGATTGTCGATATTTAATAGAAGACCCCTATTAATTTTTGGGTCACAATGCCAAAGGTCAAAGTCACTATAACCTTAAAACTGAAAACGGTTTCCGCTAAATAACTTAATTATTAATCAACCTAGAGCTGTAAAATTTATAGGATGAACATTCATGTCCAATACATGATCCCTATTGATTTTAGGGTCATAAGGTCAAAGGTCAGGGTCACAATGATCTTTACACTAAAATTGTGGTTTCTAGAGCACAACTTAAGTTCCATTCGACCCATAGTGTTCAAACTTCATAAGATGATTGTCAATATTGAGTAGAAGACCCCTATTAATTTTTGGGTCACAATGTCAAAGGTCAAAGTCAATATTACCCTAAAACTGAAAACGGTTTTCGCTCAATAACTTAAGTATTAATCAACCTACAGCTGTAAAATTAATTAGAATGAACAGCCATGCCAATAGATGACCCCTATTGATTTTACGGTCATAAGGTTAAAGATCAGGGTCACAATGACCTTAACACTGAAAATTGTGGTTTCTGGAGCATAACACAAGTTTTACAATTGTCAAACTTCATAGGATGATCACTTATATTGTGTACATTTATTATATGCCCTAAAAAATTGCTTGAGTTATACCCCTGGCGTCTTTCCGTCCATCTATCGTAGCATTTTTGCTTACAAAATAACAACTTGATGGTGGTGCTTTGGACATATATATGAAGGTTCTTCAGCTATAAAGGAGGATTGCTTTTTGAAGGAAGTAATACTTTATTTTAATGTGTTTATGTATCAATTTCTTTAATTTATGTATACATTGTATTTCCTTCATAAATGGGTACACTGAACGATGGCTGTTTTACAGAAGTCACACTTCTTTTGTTTATTCATTCAAGATTAACACTTTTCGGGCATATAATGCTCCGCCTAGCGGTGCTCTTGTTAGAAAGCTCTTGATTCCCATCTCTTAAAGTTAGAACAATTAAAAGTGTTACCTTTAAAGATATTAAATTAACCACTTTTTTATTACTAGTATATTGCTAGCATTATGCCTCGGAAGTTAATGATTTTTTTACTCTGTAGAAAGGAGTTATATGAGCCGCGTCACGACAAAACCAACATAATGGGTTTGCGACCAGCATGGATCCAGACCAGCCTGCGCATCCGCACAGTCTGATCAGGATCCATGCTGTTCGCTTACCAACTCTATAACAAGTAGATAAACTGATAGCGAACAGCATGGATCCTGATCAGACTGCGCGGATGCGCAGGCTGGTCTGGATCCATGCTGGTCGCAAACCCATTATGTTGGTTTTGTCGTGACGCGGCTCATATGAGTTTAATGATGTTTAATTGACCGAGAGCATGTAATAGGAGTATACTCGGTCGCCAGGCTTAGGAATCCCACTGCAAGTATCATTTAGACAGTGCTTATCTGTCAAAAAGTTCGAGGCCCATGATCTACATCTGGAATGGATCCGAATATAACTATTCTGGGCGGCCAGGTAGGGAGCCCGAAAAAGATGTCCGATGAGCAGCTTATAACTGTTACCTATTGCCGTGTCTGTTGAGCTTATTTTTCAGTTTATTAAATGCAGTTATTTCATTTTGGCTTGCTATTTTGTTGTTGTTGTTGTTTGTTTTTGTTTTTTTTAAATTTTATTTAGTCATTCTATATACCTGTGTTGGTATATAAATAAAGCTCTGTATTTCTTATCTCATTTGCTTGATCTGTGTTATTTTATAGCTAAAATTCTATACTAGTTTCTTTTTTGCGACTCTGATTTACTGTATATAGTATTAAAGTCATTTAGATTATGTTTTTAACAAGTTCTTATAAGAATTGTTTTTGCTTTTCTCTTTATATGTTTTAAAAAATGTATATGTAACATTAATCATTATTTAATGTTATTTTAACATGCTTTGCTTATATATCTATATGTGCTATCTATGTTGTTATCATGTAACGTAGTTTTGTTGTTGTTGTTGTTGTTTTTTTAAGAAAAAAAGCTCTTCAGTGCATGTGTTATCAAATGCTGATTTAGGGGCCTACCCGACTTTGACACCTACTCAAATTTTAACAGAGTCGGTGAAAGTGTTCTACCTAATGTATTGCTGAGACGTTCTTGACCACTTACATTCAAATCCCTTAAGCAATGATTATGGCACACTCGGTTTAAGGTCTTAGCTTCCTAGCTTCTGATAAGACGAAGTTATTGAAGATACAAACTGGTTAAGTACATATTTTGAAATTAGACAAGTGACAATCCAGGTCGATTTTTATGCTCATTTATTCGCATCGCATTTCACACTATCAAAGTGACAATTTCGTTGAGGTATAAAGTTGTAACAGAAATGCAACCAATCTTTGGGACTTTAAGATCAAGACACAGTCACTTAATTTTTGCCCTCTAAGAACTACTTGACTGCCGTCTTAGATCTACTTGACTGAAGATATGAGTATTTATAAGAACATTCTTTATTGATGAGACATATCCATTGAACATGTCATAATACACAACTGGTATCATATAGAACCTTGAACTCTTGTATTCTATCTTTGTAGATCTATACAGATTATGTCACAACACTGATTTTTATAGGCGGGGAGCAGGGGGGTGACTATTTGGAAAATCTTTTTGCATTTAGAAACTCAGACTTTGCAATCGAGTGCAATATAAATTTAACACACACAAACGTTTTGCTATACTGAACACTGACCAGAAATGCAATATTTCTATACACGTATATATAACCCCTAACCCGCTGAAATTCTTAAATTGACTTGTCTAACTTCCGTTTAACAGTTCATTATCATTTTGAGTATATCAAGATGAATATTTGCAGATTGTGACAAAGGATTATCACTTTCGATTCCAGAAGGATATGGGTAAATGTACAAAGCAGTCTCCGAACTAATTAATCTGACCTACTGTAATCAAATGGCATTTGTTAAAATAAAAATAGAAGTTAGTATACTTTGATTTATTGCATCAAGATTTTATTCGGTTGAAGCAGATAACATGTCTGCATGTTTACTGCTTTCCGGTTTTTAAACAAAACAAGTGTGTAATTTGTTTATTTTCGTATTCTACGTAATCGAATTTTAGAAATGGTTTCCCTACATTACATCATGTCCCAGTGCTTATTTCGTACAATAGGACTAAAATCCCCGACCAAATCAGTATTAGACGTATCAGAAGGACGCTTAAATTGCGTAAATGGTCTAATATGTATAACATGTAATCTGCATGTTACGTTTTTTACGAGTATGCAAGCATACGAGAATTTTCACGCTTGCCTTTGTCAGTGTCATATAAAAGACACTTTAAGTGAACTATCAATTTTGGTGTTAAACAACTTCAATATCTGAATAACCCATTGAAACATGACACTAATGTCTATATCAAAATTTACCTTCTGCTTTCTCAGTATTAAATATTCAATATTAATTTTCAGTATTGAACCCCTCACAAAACAATATAAAATGAACGCACATTCTAAATCTCTCAGTATTAAACTTCATCTTCTTCCCCTCTCAGTATTAAACTTTACCTTCTTCCCCTCTCAGTATCAAACTTTAACATCTACCCCTCTCAGTATCAAACTTTACCATCCACGACACTCAGTATCAAACTTTATCTTCCACTCCTTATAACCAAACTTTACCTTCCAACCTCTCAGTATCCACACTTCTCAGTATCAAACTTTACCTTCCAACCTCTCAGTATCCACACTTCTCAGTATCAAACTTTACCTTCTTCCCCTCTCAGTATTAAACTTTACCTTCTTCCCCTCTCAGTATTAAACTTTACCTTCTTTCCCTCACAGTTTCAAACTTTAACATCTACCCCTCTCAGTATCAAACTTTACCATCCACGACACTCAGTATCAAACTTTATCTTCCACT